AAACATCTCTTCTGGTTCAAGCAGATTCCTCTGCCCTTTTATTTGCTCTTGTTTGGCTGCAGGGGAAACGTGCTCCACTCTGACCTGGGGGCACTCATCCAATCAGCTCGCTATCTGCTGCAAGGGCCTCTATAATAGTGACATTTTTCCACCTCGTCAATAAAGTGGTGAAAGCCACCCTCCACTTGCTACTTGACCATTTAACTTCTTCCTGAAAAGGCCCTTTCTTTCTGTCAGACTCTGTGTCTGACTGAAATCAATAAAAGCAGAGCAAGGGAAGAGGCCGATCCAACGGCTGCATTAACTGCTGGTCTCAACTACTGTACAGAGAGGATGCTGCTGGAGAGGTGAACGCACGAGAGCGAGCGGCTCTTTGTCTTTCATACTGCGGCGGGAGAATGGAGCTTCTTGTTTATATCATGTTGTCATCCATGAAGGTCAGGGAAAGTCTGAAAATACTAATTGGAATCAAATGCAGTCGTGCACATTTATAACGTGCTGTGCACACTCATGCATTCTAAAGCCACACAGAAGAAGAATAAGTGAAGAAGCCTTCGTGTATGCACACATACTGAAAGCTGACAATCACCTGCAACAACACTGACATATGCGCTATCAGATGCAAACCCCCGAGTCTGTAATGGTCACTGTTTGCCATGAATCATTTAGCGTCTGCATTCACACATCAACGCACATCCGCAGTGATTGACACGAGGGCACCAGAGAGAGGAGAAAATGTCTCCCATGAAGGTAACGGGAGTGAGAAAATGAGGGACGGGCTTCGTCCAGGCCCGGGCAGAAATGAGTGCAGTGCTTTGTTTGTTTATGCTGTCTGAGCTGAAATTGATTTCTGTGCGAAGTATGCACCAATGAGTCCTTGCATTCAGATGAAATAAATAACACTCTCGCTTAAATTATGGGAGGGTATTCGGGACGTGGAGCAAGAGGTGAAAGCTGGATATGAGTAAGAGGGGGAGGAGGGAAGACGGATCTGGTCAGAATAAAAAAAAGCATAGATTTAAAAAGGATGACATAACTGAAAGGTGGCTTAGTCAACGGCATGTCTGCAGTTCAGTACAGCAGCAGAGGGAGAGAGGGGGAGAGAGAGAGGGAGACAGCCTGCAAGACATCTGGAGGAGTGAAGGATCACAGCCACACACCACTCTCTAACCACAGACAACATGATGAAGGATTAAACTTCATTACAACATGTTATGGTAATGAATGGGCTGTGGCTAGCTCTGGATGTGTTAGAGTAATTACCACACTGCAGCATATGTGTGAGTGACACTTACTAGACGCGTTTGCATGCATGCATGTGTGTGTATGCGAGCGAGTGAGCGCGCGTGTGTGTGTGTGTGTAGACGATCATGTGCCAAGCAGAACTGCTGCAGCATCTTGAAACAATGCAACAATTAGCTACTGTTGTTTGTATCATCAACAAACAGGGTGTGCCAGAGTGAGGCCAGACTTTGGGGTAAGGGCCAAGGTCTGGGCTTCAAGGTGCCAGAGAGTGAAGAGTGGAGGTGAGGAGAGAAGGAGGAGGAAGGGCTGGGGTTGAGTCAGTGTCACAGGGGCTTGTCTGGTCTTATGGCTGACAGATGTTCGTCTGGTTCAACAAGAGTTGTGACTCTGGAAAAAGTTATACCACGCCATGTTCCTCACCTCAATTATTTTCTCTGTGTAAAGAAACATCTCATACTTCATCGCTCAACAAGACATGAAAGAGCCCCTCCCTCGATGACAAATCCACATAAACAAATCCATTTGAATCTGCTTATCTGCCCTTGAGTCACTGAGACGTGTAAATGTTTGACTTAGCTGGCCTGTCGATTGCTTATGTTAGTAGTGCGAGTGTTCTGCCTGCGCTGGCAGCCTGTTGTGGTTAGCCTGCTGCTGCTAATGTGTTGTGAGAATGGTTGTGTTGAGTAGTATAGACTGAAATAGAGTCCCTTTATTTACTTTAGGCTTCAGAGTGAGTGTCTCCTGGGGTTGGCAGGGATGTGTGCCAAGGCTAAGTCCTGTCCCCAGACTGCTCCTTATTCCCTGAACACGGTACAACAGGGACTTACTGTGCTTCGGTCAAACTCCGCCAGGCTTCCCTATATTTACATGTGCTGTGGTCCTGAACTTCCCTGTGTGTCTTGTTCTATGCATGTGTGAAACAAAGGCCGTGTTTGTGGCACATTTTCCACAGCGCAACAGTACATTGCTGTAAAGAAGGACTGTTTCCAACAGGCAGGAAAAAGAAGACAGTGGATCATTAGACCGGGTAGCCTGCAGCTTTCTAATTTATGCAAATTACTTTCTTGGCTAATGTGGGAAGGAGAAGGAACGCGTGTCAAAGATCCCGTCAGCAGTCAGTGCTGAACAGAAAGTGAATTTTGCCGCTGTTCTCAGCTTTGGTGGTCTGGAAACTTGAACAGTAAAAGAAAGAGCAGAGCTGTGGTTTGACATGTAACTGTGACAAAGACATGTGGACTGCCCAGACCCTCTTCCTGCCAAAGTGGGCAGACATACAGCCAATGAGGGCTAGGCTACATCCATCGTTGGCAAATGGCGTTCAACGCTGGCCCTCTCGCCGCCCTGCCTCCACTCTCTACTGCACCACAGCTGCCCAGAATGATTTTATAAACCAGTGGATCAATACCTGTATTGATCAACCATTGTGAGAGTGATCCGTCTAAAACCCAGAGCAGCCTAGAGCTCAGAGATGGGAGGAGCGAAAGAGAGTGGCTGCAGAGAGGATGGAGAAGAGAGAGAGTCTGCAGCCACAGTGAAAGGGAGTAGAGGTGCAAGGGAGAAGAAGGGAAAATCCGAAAGAGGAAAACGTAGAGCTGGAGGAAGGCTAGGAGGCAGGTTTTTCGGACAACGGTGCCAGGCCACTGGGATCGGGGGAGAAACCATCGGTAATTGCATTATCGCTAATTGAGGGAGGGTTAAAGGGGCTAATGAATGCTGCAATAAGTATGCGGGTAAGTGACAGATGGATTAACAGTGTGCAGTAATGTGTATGCATGTAATTAAAGCGGCGGTCCTCATATCTGACACGGCTGATACTTGTGCTGTGGTTTGGCCTGCAGTGTGTAGCGCCTTCAGTACTGTTTTGCTCGAGCTTATGTCTGCATGGTTGCATGATATTACAGGGGCAGCTGGGTAATGTAGCTGATGAGCCTTTCAGAAACTAACAATGTCATTCTGCTTCATTCATCACTAATAATAATTACATGTGTCCTCATCTTTGCTCAGGGAATACCTTGAAGATCCAGTATCTGAAGATGGCTTTTACTGTGTAACTGCGTGGGACAGTGAAGGCCCTGCACATATGGAAATGTAGAACTCAAATTGGAATACCGAAAATCCGAGAGAAAAGGAGTGCCCCCAAAACTGGATGCAAACATGCACTAAGGATATAAAAGGGACAGTTGTGATTAAACCACAGTCCAGTAGTGACTCAATGTCCGACCTGATGGTGAATGGTTTGGATGACTTGGGATGTGTCTGACATGTTGACACTTCACTGGAATGGATCGTTTTTCAATATATTTTGAATTTTTACTGGTGTTTTCCTGACAAGATGGCGCTGACTGGAGCCTTCAACACGGCCTGACTGATGTTTTCCATTCAAGGCCCCAGACTGCTGCGCGCAGGACGAGGCTTATGGGATCATCTCCTGATGCTAAAGGGAAATCAAGTTTCCATTGATTGATTTTAAATGTGACTTTCTGCTGCATAATGGTGGATTTGAGGGAGAATAAATCCATTCAACAAACAGTTGAGAAACACATGATTATGTCATGATCATGAACCCACTTTGTCCTTGGCCCCTGGTGTGGGACCACTCAGAGTAAAGGGGCATTCACTCTATTGGTTCAATGTGGACGTTCTGCACCGAGGACAAATGCTACTATGTTTATAGCAGCACTATAGTAAAAAACATTGACAGGAATGAATTGACATTGGGACTAAATTGCATTTGAGCTCGCACAATAAAAAAGAACTGTTTGTACCTGATTGTAGGAATGTATTATTATCTTCTGTCTTTGTTTATTGACATTTCTGCCAATGTGTCAAATCAGGCGGTGTTTCAGAGTGACACTTTCTACTAATGAGTTGAATTAAATTGACATTGTTTTGTTTTACATGATCTCACGCCAAATTAAAAACAAGGCCGTTACTTTCTGCACGTGTGTTGTTATCACTGTCAGTGGAGGCAGAACATATTGTATGAAATTTCACATGAACAATTATGTACTGTTATACTGTGAGACAGCTGTTATGACAACTGACTTGTTCTGTGATAGACATTAGAACTAAGACTGGTTACCACAGAGACTGACATGTTGTGTTTACATCAGGCTTGTAAGAGTCACATACGTAACTGTGATGGTCAGACCTGACAGAACGAGCCACATCGTTGGTCTCAAATATTATTGTCTAACAAGCTTATTGCTGAAGTAATCGTAGAGATGTCACAGTTAGACCTATGAAAATAGACAAATGTAGATTTATACCAAGCACAGCTTTAACAATTAAATTACAGAGCGAAGAATTCCTCCAAAACTTCATGTGTTTCCCTGTGAGTTACCTTATAGATGTTGACACATTTAAAAATCTGATTAAAGACCTGGAACACCTCCAAGAACAGAGCCGCACTTCAAAATTACAAAATCATATACCACAAGAAAATGGCACAACAATCCATGTGCCAGTTTGGTAATGAAGTAATGCAGTGGATGTCAACTCATCGATGAGCAACTCGTTTTTAACACTGTTGCTGGGGGCAGATTGATTACTGTGGCCTATGTTTTCAGTGTATCTATTCACATTATAACTGTGTAACAGAATAACTCAATCAATTCCCAATATTATATGTATAACTTGTACCTCAACAACTGATGAAGGAGGAGCGAAAGTGAAAGCAAAAGTATGAAATCAGTCATGTAAACATATTTAAACAGTTTTTTCATGATAGCAGGTACTAAATGTAACTTTTAGCTTTGACCCTGGTAATGACAGCCCAACAGGTTGAAGTAAAACATCCAATAGCTGGGTATTTTGACAATCTGATAAACTTCTAGGATTGTCCAATCTAGTTGCTAAATTGATGACAAAAAGAGAAAATCCAGCAGGGGGAAGTGTTCAGGCAGATTTCTTTTTTTTTTTTTTTTGTAATATTATTTTAACATAATTACTGTACATTTCCAACTGGACAAACTATGACATACTGTAGATTAAAACTATAGATTATAACTCTATGTCAGATCACTGATCTGACATAGAGTATGTATTGCCATATTTGGAAACAACAATATCTGAGCAGTTCTTGTTCTTTTCTGTGCTCAGATTGAACAGTTTTTGTTTACAAAAGCTTGTCACACTCAACAATGTCTTTGGCACAGTGACAAAATGTACAAACATAATGTTATGTCTCCCATTGATTACTATAAAGTAACAGTTACAAAAAATATGACGCTTACAGCCAGTGGTGTGCCTTTTTAAACAACTCTGAATTTACTCTGATATAAAGTTTGAATTTTTAGTCTAATAATAAAAAAATCTCCTTTCACTTTCCTTTTTTTAATGCATTATTGAACCAATGAAATTGCTATGTATTAAATATATAATCTGCCCATGAAATCAGTTTGTATTACCAAAAAAAAAAAAAAAAAAAAAACAAGCCTGAGAAGAGAGACTAAGAAATGCAATCAAAAGTTTGAAGACGTCAGAAAATGTCAGTGATTCCATGGTCTCACGTGTTTACATCATAAGACACTGGATTTTATCCATTAAGTCACATACATACCCACAGTAAAGATACTTCATAACTGAATTATCATATCATAAATCCAGAAAGAGAGAACTGGAATTTATATTAATACAATGTAGTTAAACAAAATAGGAAAGCTATTTAATGGAGAGTAAACATTTATAATTTTGAAAAAAAAAAAGGAAAAATGTTTTATTGTCTACAGATGGATCCATGTTAAAGTCAAGGCAGCACTGAGTTAGTGGATCACCATCTTGTGTCCCTTTATCCCCCTGGTTGGATTCAGAGTCTCAAAAAAAAAAAAAAAAAAAAAAACCCAAAGCCTTGGATGAGTGCCAAACAATAAATTAGGATCTTCATTAGACACATCAAATCTAAATTACTATTCAATTAACAGGCCAGTCAACCTGAACTAATCAGCCAATTATGCTGTGTGTTCACAGAGAAGCTAACAAAAGCACACGAGTCCCCGGGGAAGCTGTAAAACACTGCACCAGAGTGACAGAGCAAACAAGAGGTGACTGGTTTGGAAGAGAACAGAAGAATAAACATGACACTGAACGCATCACTGCTGTGTCCTGCCAGTATCTGGGAACCACGTTTTGAAGATACCTCGCTATTAGCCTAAAAATGTCATCTTGTGATATGGCCACATGGGATTATTGTTTTTATTTCTGTTGAACTAAGCGCCGATGTGATCTAACAACGGTGCACTGCTGCTTAGATTTGAATGTGTTCCAGTTGATAATTAAAAGACAGTTGACGTCTAAGATCAAATGTTAATAATTAGTTTTATTATTTGTTTTTTGTTCTTTTTTTAATGAATACAGTCTGAACCAATGCAGCCATATAAAACAAAGACAGACTAGCCTCAGTCTACGTGTGTGTGTGTGTGTGTGTGTGTGTGTGTGTGTGGGCTGTACATACCTAAAGAGGGGCCACGGGTGACAGGGTGGGCAACACTGGTGGTTAGAGCCTCTTCTCACATGCAGAACAGTGTAATCTAAAAAAACAAAACAAACATTAAAACATTCAGTGTAAAAACTGTATAAATTGCAACCATTAAATGAAATGCCATCAAACGCCCAGGGTCTGGGTATGACACACAAGGAGGGGCTTTCAGATAGGAGGGTACTTGTAAATGTCAAAACAAGGCCGACTAATTGTGCTACTAATTCATGTTTATTAATGCAGTCATGTATGATGGCACCACAGACAGAGTCGACCTGTCTGTCCCTGTCATGTATGGCTGCTGAACGGCTGCGGGGAGTGTGTCAGGGGCTGGCTGCTGGATGTGGGGCATATGGCTCATGCAGCGATGGTGCCAAGTGGTGTGTGACTCTAACACACAGGCAGTGGGGGTATGATGATGACTGCTGGTGCTGGGATCTTCTGCTGGCCTAGTGCCAGGGCCCCTCTGGTCCCCAGTGCCTCAGAGCCCCTGGGCAACCACTACTGCAGTTATTGTTTTCACTGCCAAACAATTAGTAGCACTTAAGATTTATTTAGTCATGCTCTAATGTGTGGCAATTAGCTCCGGGCCCAAACAAGCCCCCGCCATCCGTACAACTTGTCACTCATGTCGGAGATGTGCATTTGCAGGAGACAGTGAGGGAATGTGAGGGAGGAAACGGAGGTACAGATGGTGGAGCTGTAGCAGGAGCAGAGCTAGAAGGATTACAGGAGCACCGGCCCAGCGCTGTGGATCAGCACTTTTTAAGAGATCTTCAGGGGCCTGTTGGCTGAGTGCAGAGCAGGAGGAAAGGGCAAATACAGCCCAGTTACACTTTTATAGAATGCTTTGTGGAAAAACACCCCTGACACACACCTCAGCCTGGCAGCTCAGTTTGTCATATGGCCCAGGGGGCTCTGCTGGCCTTTCACATGACCACTGTAATGACCTTAAAGGGCTTCTTCGGCTACAAACCCAGGCCACGCCCCTCACTGCCACGCTCTTTGGGAAATACAGTCTGGTTTGAGACCCAAAATGCTATTTGTTTGGCTCTGAAGTCGCCTTTGTTGTTCCTTATAAATAACCGACGTAAAAAAAATAGGTCAAAGCAAAAATAGCAGATAGGAATGGATGCCAAATAAGGACAACAAACGTATGGAGAAAACGATGAACCATTGTTCCTCAATGACTGCGCGAGGCCTTTAAAAAAAATGTATTATATTTATAATTTAGGACGCAGTGATGTCGTAAATTACTTTCATTTGAGATGGATCTCTTACACAGGGTTTATGATCCGAGGCTCTGTGACTTCCTTTTATGGTAATGCTACATATTTTTAACAATGCTTGGTTACATGTTGTGTACATACACACACACACACACACACACACACAGCAGCTTGAATGGGGGATGTAACACACGTTAGCCACAGCTCGGTTGTCTACACACCCCCATTCCAGTGAGTGGTAATCATCTAACCGCCGCCGTCAAAGCATGAATTAAATATCTCATTGAGTAAACAACACCAGGCCACCATAGGTGATTAATAGAAAAAAAGAAGCAACACAAGTCCCTAAAGATTCATTCATTCACATTAACAACATCCTCCAACATTACCGTGGAGGCACTTAGAGCAAAACAATATTTTGTGAATAACGCTGCACAGGGTCATGAGAATTAAGGTGAGCCGCAGCATTTTTTTCTTCCAACTTCTACGGCACACACCATATTTCTTTTTTTAACTACTTGCCGCAGCTATAAAGAGTGCAACTGTGGTCTCTGCTTGAATACATGTGAGCAGTTGAAGGTCACAGGCAGTTTCAGGTACATATGCACATCCTATACATATGCATTAACAAAAAGCCATCAATCCTTGCCAGTGAATGGGGGTGGGAGGACATTAAATTCACCACATATTAAAAATAGCCAGAGGAAAACTACACATCACAGACAAAAATGCTGAGGCAGGACATCAGAGCAGACGTTTCTGTGTTGGAAATTTGACTGTGAGATGAACTCCAATCATTGCAGGACTGGGCCTCGTCATGAAACTATCACCTAAAATTGCTGTGCAGTCTAGAAGTGGGGTGCTCTACATGAAATATCACTTTCCATTTTATCCCCAGGGGGCATCTGAAAGCTGTGAACCAATCAGAAGCACCCACGCCAACCCTTGACCTTTTTTCATCTCAATATGACTACCATTATCTTGCAGAAAATTAGAGGCATCTCACTCTCGCTGTTCAATCGTGACGGGGTGGGGGTTGCCGGTGGCTTTGGTGGGGTGCATTATTCAGAGATAAATGCTTGAGTGTTCATGATCGGTGTGGCAATCACACACCGCCAACTCAGCAGCGAGAAAAACAAGTCTGCATGAGTGCACATGCGCAGTTAAAGCTGCATGTAAGCAGGTCCGGGTCGGCTGTTTGATGCTGATGCGGCAGTGTGTTTGTCGTGTAAACCCGTGTGTCACCATCCAGTGTGCAGGTGTGTGTGAATATTATGCAAAAGCTGAAGTGATCAGGACTGATGTTAAATAGGAACCACAGGATGGGAGGGTTTTTCTGTGAACTCATTAGGTGTAGCTTTACACATTTAAGATGGAAGCATTTTATTATTATTTATTTCTTCTAACAAAGACATTAGGATATAAATGTTAATACAGAACATGGTCTGATAGATGACTGGATTAAAGACTGGACTAAAATACTCAAGCAGCTAAGCGTCAACAAATAGCACCTTCAATCTGTTAACATTAAACAAGCATCCCATACATGTTACTGGTTTAGCTTTTCCCCTCATTCCTAACCACCTTTGTCAAGTTTTTGTTTTTCTTTCAGTGAGATCTACTTTAGCAAAAAAAAAAAAAAAAAAATCAAAAAGCGTTCCCATTAAGTTTTCTCTGCTTCATCTGTAAATATTAACATACAGTGTTCAAAGTGTTATCTCACTTACTGGTAGCCACTAGTATGGCCTGTACAAAAGCACAGAAGATCCACATTGTATTTTGTTTTAATAATAACACTGTGTAATAGCCATGTTGGTAAATGTGCTCGGTTTGGTGCCAAGGTAAAACTGACCATAAATTTGAAGTATTTCTGCTGAATTGCTTTCTCCCACTGTTCGGTAACAGCAGGGAATCTGCTCTTCTGTCCAACAAATGAAACCAAGAAAAAACATATATGTATGTATTTTTACTTTTTCTAAACTTATTATCTATTATATTGCATGATGAATGTTACACGGGGTCAGAGGATAGCACCGCTCTAAATGTTATTTCCATGATTGCTTCATTCTGTCCATTTCCTGTTCATTGTGTGTGAGCAAACTCCATTGTCTGTGTGTAGATTCTGCCGGGCCTTCAGAGGGTCCGTCCCCAGGGAGCACTGCATCTTTTATTAATCAGGGGTGCAGCACCACAGCCCAGCTTATCTAATTTAGCAGCCCGCCTCAGATACAGCTATGTCGGGCTTGGTGTGGAAGGAAGGGACAGAGGCGTGGGGGTGCACTTGGGTGTTGATAGGATGGGGGTTGGGGTGCTTATTTTATTTTATTTTTTTTCCATATTGCAGGTGATGCACGGGGGGCAGGTACGAGGGAGCGAGGGGGCGACTTATCAGACACCTCGTCACCAAGTTTTAGGACTGAATCACAATAGAGCAAATTACCTTCTGCTGACAAGAAAAAATGAGCATGGCCCCATATGAAAAAAATAGGATTGTCAGGAAAAGGTGACACATTGATTGCTTAGTATGCGCATCCAGACGGCTGGAGTTCAGAGGCGTCCTCCCTATATATATGCAGAAGAGGTGTAGCAGTGCACAGCACAGCCATGAGGGGCGAATGAGAAATTGAAATGCCATGTTAGATTGGAGTCTCTTCCTCAAGCCAATCTCTCCAGTCTCACCCACATTAGACCGCCATATCATCGCTTGGCCGCGTGTGTTGTAGTGAACATACGCCGACCTGCGCATGTGAACCAATTAAAGAGAAGACAATGCTCGCGCTGCAGCAGATGCAGTGTTGGCCCTGGTCAGGGTGTTAGGGTCTCTGTGGATGTACACACACAGCAGTGGTGTGATGTGATCTTCTGTTAGGAGATTTTTTCCCACTTACATTTGTTAGATATAAAACGAAACACATTAGTTGAATAATATAATATATATATTTGCCTTGACATGTTTTGTTGGTTTCTTCCTTTTATTTAATTTCACAAAAACAACACCAGCGACCGTGGACTAACCCTGCACTCACCAAAACCTCACACCAAATTCCATAGCTGTGCATATGAACTTGACACCCTTGACAATTGTATAGGAAAAACCACAAATGAATCAATCAATAAAATCAATGGCACCGTCTGA